ATCTCTTAATTTGGGGCTTGACAGCTGATAATTTCAGAACAGCCATCTCAGGCCAAAAGATGAGAATATAATTAGTATTCTACATATCTATTAAAGTCCTGAAATTACAGAACAGACTTTCCATTCTGAAAGGGCCAATACCACAGCACAGTTGTATTTCTTCAGCAGATGTACCCTTCTCATAAAGGCTGCAGAACTGCCAGAAAACTGCATAGGAAAGTGTTCTTGCTGTGCCCCTCCATGGGCAGATCCTGTTAGTCCTGTTAAATGCAGTTAGCTTTGCTGCAAGTTTATGAGCTAGGGAAACGCACTGTTTCTATACTGCTATGCTTAGAGGCTTTTACCTTTGGGAACTTGAGTTGGCATGATAGTTCTTTTTTTAAAAATCTCCTTCTCAACAGTTTATCAAAATAGCATGATTTTTTCCTATCTTAATTCTGTGGATCAAAACAATCCGTTCTTGCAGAAGGTGAGAGACGAGTAAGCCATGAGACATTTGTTGGGCTGTTCTTGAGCCCACTGCTGTTCTTAGGCTGCGGAGTGCTCACAACCTTCACACCTCAGAATTGGCACTCTTTCCACTGTGCTTCTCAAGTCGGGCCAGGACCACTAGGAGGCATGACTTTTGGTAGCACTGAGATGTTTTCTACAGATACTGAACTGACATTTAGAAGCATTAAATTACATGATGAGAAAGTCCTTTTTCAGTTTTCTTTACAGTCTTGGTTGCAGTGCAAAGGAAGACAGACCGAGGCTTAGAATATCATTAACACTATAACACTTGCTAATTTCCCCCTTGTAGAGAAGTGAGATCAGACCTCTGGCAACTGTAGCCAGCTACAAAGGCCTAGCACAGATTTTTTCACTGTATTTACTTGTGTGGGTACTTCCTATTTATGGCAAACAGCCTTGGTTTTTCTTTTACTGCAGTGTAATAACTGTACTTTTTAATCTTTCGTGTTAAAAAGTAAGAGAATTAAAAGGAAAATGGGAATAATAGTCCAAGTCGTCTGTGAGTGATACCACTAAGTCCAGTCCAAAAACTGTACTGTGAGAACCATTGCTGGGTTATTGAGTGGTACTGACCCTGGCTTCACATAAGACTCTTCTGGGGAGCTTGGAAGATCCTAATGCCTGGGCCTCAACCCACACAAATGACTCTGAACCCCCAGGGGCATCGGCATCAGTATTTGACTCAAACGTTCCAGATGTTTCCATTTGTAGCTGGGGGTAAGGCCTGCTTCCTGCCTGTACTCTGGCAGCATTTTTCTACCTCTGACCCCACATCCTGATTGCATCTTACATTTCCTTTCCTTGTCCTGCTTCTAGACCTTCTCGTCCATGCCTTTCATTTTAACTTTGCTCTTCTTCTCTCTTTTCTGGCTTGTGTCTTCCAGATAGGAAGAGAACTATTCCCGTTAGTAATAACCTCGAACATCGCTTCTTCTTTAAAGACTATTGATGGGTCCGGGAATTTAGCTCAGTTGTTCTGCCACCTGCCTCACAAGTGCAAGGTCGGGAGTTCGATGCCCAGTTCCAAAAAGAAAGAAAGAGAGACAGGCAGACAGACAGATTTTTGTTAAAATCCCTCACTTAGTCATAACTGTGTTGGAAAAATTCCACATTGTACTGTTTTCAGCAGAAGTTGTTTGCCAGTTCATTAGCCAACTGTAGTTCCTAAACATCTAAACTTTTTGGATTTTGTTCTCTACTGGTAACTTGTTTTGACAATGATAATTATTACTGTGTTCTTAGTAAGCCTGTTGCTGCCTTTCAGCACTTTACATGTGTGAACCTTTGTCATCCTGATATATATCATCCTAGTTCTGCTGCCTGCCTCGCAAGCACAAGGACCTGAGTTCAATCCCCGGTACCAAAAAAAAAAAAAAATCATCCTATTGATCAGTCATCGATTAGGGTGATATATCATCCTGATATACAAGGAAGGCACAGTTCTTCAATGAAGAAACTGAGGCAGAGTGATTAAATATTTTGCCACAACCATGAAGTGGCAGGGCCAGCGTTTACATTCAGGCAGCCCTGCACCAAAGCTCCCACTCTCAGCAGATGGAACCGCTAGTTGGATTTTTATAATCCTGATTCAGGTGTCCTGGCCTGCAGTGAGTCACACATCAGAAGACTGTTCTTTGCTACAATAAGAAATTGAAATTTGGACCCGTTGTCTGCTTCAATGTCATTTGAAATTGGTAACTTTTATTTTCAACTTAAATGATAGTATCTCAGTGGGAAGCCCACAGTGTTAAATCCCATCAAGATTGTAGCTCATCACCATTCAGGAGAGATCAACCCTAAATGATTTGATGTGTGCTGGCTGTTGAGCCTATAAACTTGAAGATGCGAAAGCCAGTACTGGCAGTAATTCTGCAAATGGCAGGGGGCCCACGGAAACACTTGGTGGCCTTGATAAGGTTCTTCATTATCTTATCTGGAATGTGACCTTCTGCAGCCTCCAGTGTTAGACATTCCAGGGCACTTTCTGCCTTTTAAAATGTATCAGATTCTCATTCTGGTGTTTAAATTAGAGACAAACCTTTGGCCTGTTTCCATTACTTGTGGAAGACGTTTATTTTCATGCCCAAATTTTCATCTTTTGTGATACTCATGGTTGATTTTTTTTAGGAGGTTAAACCTTCTGAATTGCATTAAACCTTAAAATATCAGGTGAGTTTTCAAGTGGCTGACTGCTCTGGGACCTCCAACGTCATTGAAGATTTCAAAATGATGAGTAATGGGGCTAAGTCTGAGACACTGTGCCTAGGACATAGTGAGTAGTCACATTATTAAATCTTTTCCCCCCATTTTCTAGGCTCCCAACTACCATATAAATTTCATTCAGTTCTCCCAACAAGCTTATACCACCAGAGTTAGGGTCCTGTTCATCTTTCTAGTTGAAGAAACAGGCCCAAGGGTGTTGGTTCCAGTGCTTGGGGCTACACAGTGAAAGAGACAGGGCTGGAATGTAGATCTGCTGAGCCGTGGAGCTCATGCTCTGTCCACTTGTGCGGTAGACGAGGTGTTATATTTTGAATCTGTGTTCCCCAAAAAGCTCCTGTGTGCAGAGGTGGGCCTTTGAAGGTGACTGGATCATGAGAGATCTGTTCTTATTGGGGATGACTCGGTAGTTGAATGTGCTATCCGAGGTGGGGCCTGGTTGAGAGAGGTGGTTCACTGAAGGCATGACCTGAAGGGGTATATCTGCCTTCCTGGCTCCTCCCTTTGCTCTCATTTTCCTGGACACCATACATGAACAACTTTCCTCCACTACGCCCTTCCTATCCAGAAGTCAGCCAACTATGGACTGAATCTTCAAAAAACCATGAACCAAAATAAACCTCTCCTCCTTTAAATTATGGATATCTGGTATTTTGTCCCAGTGACAAAATAACTGAGAAGAAAAGTAATAAGACACAAGGTTAGCTGCTGTTTTCTGGGCAGAAATATGAAGAGGGCACACATAGAATGTGAGGAATTTAAGTTTAGCTTCTCTGTGGAAGGCAGACTTGAGCTGGCCCAATTCCCCACTCAATATGGTCCCCTCTGTCACCTTCTTGTGTTAAGGCTGCTAGCTAAGAAGACATAAGACTACTGACCTTCAGGAGTACAGGACTCTGCATACAGTGGGGCCACAGACTAGTGTGGGAAAATCTTATCTTTGACTCCTGCTCTTGAGGCCATACCTCCCGTATTTGTTTCCAAAGACCCAATATCTTTAGCATTCTCCACTCCTCCGTTTTTGGCTTCCCACCTTCTTCTGAATTTCTTCCATAATTCTTAACAATCAAATTCTACTGTTAATCTGTGACAGCCGACTAGATCTGTGGTTCTCCACCTTTTGCCTACATCAGAATCACCTGGAGGTTTGCTGACTGGATCTCTGCAACCACCAGAGTCCTGATTCAGTAGATGGTGCCAGTGCTGCTGGCCCAGGGACCACACTGTGAGAATGGCCAGCTGCATATGTATCAGTTGTGCCTGCCTGAGTAGGAACCCTTGTAACAGGAGATTTCACTCTTGTTAGGAAAGATGCTGTTGGAAGACAGTGAGAAAGGCACTGTGGGGAGGAGGCCCCAGACCTCTGTCCCTCCTGGACATCATGATAAGGACTGTGGTGTCACATTACCTTGATGTGCCATGACTTTAGGTAGCCACCCCCACTGATGTAAGCCTCTACCAGTGATAGCAGTTTTTTCTCTGCAGGTGGAAGGCCTTTCCTTCTAATTAGTAGTTATGCTTCTCCAGCAAGAATGTGCACTGGAATCCCCTGGGAGCCTTGGTAAAATGAGGGTTCTGAGTTAGTAATTTTGGAGTGAGGCCCGAGACTCTGCCTATCAAATGACCTCTCAGATGGTGCTGATGACTCTTTTCCTAGACCTGCACCTGGGTTAACAACTCTGAATTACAGCTTTATACAAAAGTGGCCCAATCCCTGCTGTGTAATAGAACCACCAGGAACGCTTTTTAAAATTAAGGCCACATCACCTCGATATTGTGATTTAATTCTGAGCATTGGAATTTTTATCCCTCTCCCAAGTGATTCAAATTATAGCCAGGGTTGGAATCTACTCCTTCTAGGAGTAAGGGCAATGGGCAGCACCATGGGCTGGGCCAGGCTGGTTATCCAGATGAGGAGCCTGTAAAGGTCACCAGGGATCTTGGTAAAACACAGATCCTGTTTCTGCAGGTTTAGGTGGGACCCAGTTTTCTACATTTCTAATATGTGCCAAGTGTCTTCCAAGTTGGCTGACAATTCAGCATAACATGTTCTGAGCCTCGAGGCTGGGCCACATGGGCCACATGATGCCTACTGTATCTGCCAGTGAATGTGGCGGGCAGCTTTCTCATGATGATTTCTGGTTTCACCTCCTGTCCCTGTCAACATCATTTAACGTCTCTTTCATCCAGCTTGGCACTAGCACAGGCCACTGGGCAATTCGGGTCAGTCCTCTTTTTGTAACATGTTCTTCCTTCTCTCTTCACAGTACGAGATGCAAAAAATCTAATTCCTATGGATCCAAATGGACTTTCCGATCCTTACGTAAAGCTGAAACTTATTCCTGATCCCAAGAATGAAAGCAAACAGAAAACCAAAACCATCCGCTCCACACTGAACCCCCAGTGGAATGAGTCCTTCACATTGTAAGTGCTCTCTTCTCTTCTGAATTAAATTCTGCTCTGTATATCACACACTGCCAACCTCATTGTTAGAGATAACGAGGCACCTGTGACAAACATCCCTAAACTTGTCTTCATTCCTAAGACATTCTCAGGCTCCAGTAGTAGCTGTCATTACTTCCAGTGAACGGGTAATAACTTGGTTTATCAGGAGTTACATGATGCAAGCCCCAAATTATTAGTACTTGTTTTGTTTAAAAAGTCTGTTTCAGGTGCAATGTGTGATATAAATCATAAGGTATGACCCTCCTCTTGATGGACATAAGTTCTTTTGAGGGAGTGGGAGGATGTGAGTCGGGAATGTAATAACTTTTACCACACAGAATAAGTGAACAATGTAGAAAGTAGTGTTACCACTGGAAGGGGATGATATCCTCACCTTCAAGCGGGGAGGACTGCCTGGAGGAGTGACATTTGAAGTGGCTTAAAGAATTACCAGGATTTCAGAAGTGGAGATGGTGGTAGGGGAAGAAGATATGAGAGAATAAAGGCGTTAGGGTCAGGGACACACAGACTGCAGCAGAGAACAAACAGTAGGTCCTCTTTGTGGACTCAGTCTCGGAAAGCAGTTTCTCTGCTTCCTTCCTTACTTTTCCAGAAAGTTAACTCTACTCCAGAGAAGCCAGAGAGCTTGGCCCTGAAAAGGGCGAGGTTTAACGATCTTAGTTTCAGCTGCCCCATGTCGCTCTTCACATTCTAGTGCCAAAGCAGCCACAGACAATATATAAACTAATGGCCATGTCTGTTCTAAGAAAATTTCATTTACACAAAGTGGCAGTGGACTGGATTTAGCCCATGGATTATAGCTCTCTAAACCTTGGTCTGGAGCTTTGGTAGCCTGTATGGTGGATTGGTATATTGTTGGCGCTGGAGAAGAAATGAACATACTCTTACTCCGGTCTATGAACTTGTGGTGTCACCCAAGAAACCATGATGGAGATAACCAACCACGTGTGTGTATGCGTGTGTCTTTGTAGCAAACTAAAACCTTCAGACAAAGACCGACGACTGTCTGTAGAGATCTGGGACTGGGATCGAACAACAAGGAATGACTTCATGGGATCTCTTTCCTTTGGAGTGTCAGAGCTAATGAAGATGCCAGCCAGTGGATGGTGAGGAAGCCCTTGGGCCTGCCCGTGCCTCCCCTCAGTAGACCCTGGGAGATGCTGAGAACAGGTGGTTTCAGTCTGCAATGCCAGGTGGATGTTGGGTCACCTGGCTTAGTCCCTCCATAGCAGGTATTTCACCAACAGCTCAAGTAGAGGGTAGGGAAGGAGCTGCTGAACCTGCACTTAACCCTCCTTCTCTCCCATGTCTTTGAAAGGTATAAGTTGCTTAACCAAGAGGAAGGTGAGTACTACAACGTGCCCATTCCAGAAGGGGATGAAGAAGGCAATGTGGAGCTCAGGCAGAAATTTGAGGTGAGGATTCCAAGAAACCTACAGGGAACATATTCCCTCTGCTTTCTAAAGCGTAACTTCAGGGAGGGCCAGATTTTTGTGGTCACACAGTTGAAAAGCAAAGAGCAATTTCAACGTTAGCCCTTTCTTTATTTAACAGTGTAAATGTTGTATATAATTACTTCCATTTGCAAACTATTGGCATTCTGAGTCTACTGTCCTTTAGAGAACCAGACTGGAAATGTCACAGAGACAAGAGCATGGTTGACTTCTGATTACAGAATTGGTGTGCACACACTGGGGAGACAGCAGGGTTTGAGCGCAAGGCCCTTACAGAGAGAGGCCTGTACTCCTGCAGAAAGGACTTCCGCTTGTCCTCTCCACTTGAGGAATTTGAATGTAATCAGGCTATCATGCCAGCATCTGAGATTTGTTTCCTACCAAAAGCAGAAGTTTCCTAATTTTGTTCTAAGAGACCAAGCTTCGATAAATATTTCTTTATGTTGGGATTCCTTTGTATTTTGCTCCAGATCTTGGGGAAAGACCAGCCTGTTGCCCTTGTTGGTCTTTGTGTTCTGGCATCCATTTCTCTTTTTCTCCCTCCTGTCTGTGCTCCCCTTCTCTCCTTTTTTTCTCCATCCTTTCTTCTCGTTACTTACCAGCCATCTCAGCTTGTACTAAATGTTCTTTTCTCTAAGCTGCCACCTTGTGTTCTGAATCACCACTTGCGATTTCTACTTCTCTAATCACTTTGCATTTGGGGCATTTGAGGGATGTGTGTAGTTAGCTCTGCTATCTATATATGTGAATGGTTAATTCCTTTTTGAATCTTTCTTTTCTTCAGACTAATAGGATTCCCTGGTAATTTCCCAGCCCTAAAGAAACAAATACACACACACACACATACACACACACACACTGTGCTGTTAAAGAAATATTGATGAGATGCTGCTGGTGTTGTTTTCTTTACTGTTTTATTCCCAAATATGATAGATGATAGATAGATAGAGATAGATAGATAGATAGATAGATAGATAGATAGATAGATAGCAGATCCAGAGAGGATGAATTTTCAAAGGGTGTCAAACATGGACTTGTTCAAATTATTTCATCATGCAAATGTTTGGTTAAAATGGACATTAGTGTCAAATAGTTAAGGGAAGGGGCTGTAAAGTTGGGTTTCTGCTGGGGCCATAAATGAGGAAAATGAGTCAGAGGCATAATAAATGTAACTAATGGAGGCCCAGGCTCGATGAGATAATAGGCAGCAATGGGGCCTGGGGTGAGCTGGAGCCCTGTCCAAAGGTGGAAGCCAGTGCCATGCAGTACTGCCTGGTCATTGCCTTGTGTACCACAGAGCCCGTTCTTCAGGAAAAGCCAGAAATCTGGAGTTTTATTATGACACAGTCTGATTTTTTTCATTGGTGGCAGCTAATCAAAATTTAAATTTTGTGTAGTTCAAACATACATCTATTGCTTTAGACACAGAAGTCAACCAGTGAGAACCAGCCTACAGTCTCTGCTCTTTAACGCTACAGGAATAAATATAAATAAAAGGCAGTATACATAAAGGAAGGGGTGGGGTTCTTTCTGAAGAAGCCTTATAATATTTAGAGGAATTCAAGTACAAAGATGAAAGTCAGGATTTTGCTAGGAATAGCCCTTTCTCTTCTCTTCCTCTTTGCTCTCTTTACTCTTCCTCCTTCTCTCTCTCTCTCTCTCTCTCCCTCTCCCCCTCCCTC